GGAGCCACTATTGTTATTAGCAACCCTGTTCTTAAGTACTACGCTGTAGCTATAGACCTAGGCCTCTAGAAGTAGCGATTTGGAATCGCTAGGAAAGAGGACATTAAACACATTAATATTAGCGAGTGCCCTAACGATATTAGGGTCCTGTTTATTAGCAACCTAATACCTGCCTTAGCGGATCCGATAGCTGATCTTCTCGGTAGAGATAACGATAAACCTATACCCCCTAATAGTATAGACCCTAACTAGCTCTCTCGTATACTAGAACCTATTCGAGAAACCTATATTAATGTATTTAAATACTACCTAGCATCGACATTGCCTATATTTAAAGAGACAGATTATAAGATTAATATTATAGAGGGCAAGGAGGTTCCTTTTAGCCCCCTCTACAACCTTAGTAAACGAGAGCTTGCTATGCTGCGTAAGTACCTAGAGGAAAACCTAGCTAATAGTCGAATTCGATATAGTAACAGCCCTGCTAGTATACCTATCCTATTTGTACTAAAGAAGGATAGCGGCCTGCGTTTATATATTAATTATAGAGGGCTCAACGCTGTTACTATTAAAGACCGCTGTCTACTCCCGCTTATTAATAAGACCCTCGACCGCCTTTCTAGTGCCTACTACTATACTATATTAGACATTAAGGATGCGTACTATCGTATCCGCATTCGTAAGGGCGATGAATAGAAAACAGCCTTCCGCACTCGTTATAGCTATTTCGAATACTTAGTTATACTATTTAGCCTAGCTAATGCCCCTATAACATTCTAGTCCTACATTAATCGGGCCCTTTTAGGCCTATTAGACTATCTCTGTATAGTTTACCTAGATAATATCCTAGTTTATATACATTTACCTAATATTATAGAATACTAGGCCGTAGTACGTAAGGTCCTTAACCGCCTGCGAGCCTATAAACTGTATTGCAAACCTTCTAAATGCACCTTTACTTCTAAGGAGGTGTCATTCCTTAGCTTTCTTATTTCAACCGAGGGTGTTAAGGCTAATCCTAACCGGATCAAAACAATTACTAAATAGCCCGTTCCTACGTCTATTAAAGAGCTTTAATTATTCCTAGGTTTTGCTAACTTCTACCGTCGGTTTATTAAGGGCTATTTACGGCATGTAATGCCCCTAACTGAGCTTACTAAAACTAAGGCTAACCTAACTAGAGAGTTTAAATGGACTAACAGAGCATAAGCCGCTTTTAACGGCCTAAAGCAACGCTTTACTAATGTCCCCTTATTGTACCATTTCGTACTAAGCAAGCAGATCCGAATTGAAACTAACGCTTTACAGTTCGCTATATTAGCTATTATGTTATAGCAGGCTAATAATACCTATTAGCACCCGATTGCCTTCTTTTTACGGAAGATAATCGATATAGAACGTCGGTACGAGACCTACGAGTAAGAGCTCCTAGCAATCGTAGAAGCCTTCAAGTACTAGCGCTATTGTCTCGATAGTACTTAGTACCCTATTTAGGTCTATACGGACTATAACAACCTCCGTAGAATTACGAAGGTTACTAGGGTTATAGGTCGACAGGCTAGATAGGCCGTCTACCTCGCCGGGTTCGATTTTGATATATTATATCGGCTAGGCGTAAGTAACTCTGCTAATAGCCTATCGAGGCGACCTAATTACGATAGCGAAACCTAATACATTAATTCTCTATTTCTAACCCTGCAGTATAAGATTGCTATAAACCTTGCTATAAAGCAGGCGCAGGATAAGCGGACTTCCGGACCCCGCGGCGGCAATAAATACTATAGCGGAGTTGTCGTTCTTCTAGTATACGTTAAAAGAAAGAACGTAGATCGCTCGAGCTATAACGACTCGATTAAAGATATTGCTATCTATAGCGATAGCACTATAGAAGAGGTTGTAGTTAATCCGGCTACTAGTGCTATTAGATGCATATAATGCGTACCTCGTTCGATAGCGAGGGTGCTATTAAATGACCTTGTAAATAGGGATAGTTAATCGTTTATAGATAAGCTGTTACGTGCTTAGCAGAGGGACGCCTTTGCTGTCGAGCGCATTAATAAGCTTGTAAGTAGGCGGGCGACTCGATCTAGCAAGAGTAACAATAATTAGTCGATCGACGACAAAGGTTACTTAAAGTTTAAGGGCAGATACTATGTCCCTGCTAAACAATCGATTAGATAAGAGCTTTTAAAGAGGCACTATAATAGTGAACTCGCTAGTTACTATAGTATAGAGAGGTCGCACGAGTTACTATCGCGCATATACTACTAGCTAAATAGTAAGCGGCATATAAAGGAGTATATACAGATCTGTATAGTATGCTAGCGAGTTAAAGCACTAAAGCACTTACTATTTAGCGAGTTGTCTTCACTCCCTGTTCTAAAGAAGCCTTTTATAGAGCTTATAATAGATTTTATTATAGGTCTTCCCCCTACTAAGCGAAGAGGAAGCAAGGATATCTTTAACGCTATCCTAGTCGTTATAGACTAGTTTACTAAGGGCGCTCGATACATCCTAGCGCGGAAAGATTAGACTGCTATTAATATAGCAGAAGCGCTATAGAACAACATCTTCTATACCTATTAGGGGACCCCTAAAGGGATAGTCTCTAACCGAGGCTCGACATTCATATCTTATTATTAGAGTGAGATTTGCCTATAGCTGAGACTTAAGCATCGCCTGTCTATAGCATTCTATCTACAAATAGATAGTTAAACCGAAAGGCAGAATGCTACGCTATAGCAGTACCTACGCAGCTACATTAATGAGAACCCTAATAACTAGGTCAATCTCCTATAACTAGCCGAATTCGTGTATAACAACAGTGTCTACTTATCTACTAAGGTATTACCTTACTTCGCTATAATAGGCTAGAACGCTGCCTTACTATAAGATCTATTTACCTCGCTCGAGGCCGAGCGCAAGGAAAGGGAAGCGTATTAAGTACTAACCCCTAAAACACTAGCGGCTATTAAGAGGGTTCAAAAGATGCGAGAAATTCACGCTATAATAGCTAACAAACTAGCAAAGGCCTAGGCCTATTAGAAGGCCTACTATAACAAACACTATACGCTAATAACCTTTAAGCAAGGCGATATAGTTATGCTTAGTATAAAGAACCTCCGCATCCGCAAACACCTATTACCTAATAGCAAAACAAGGCCTAAGCTCGCACTAAGATATATTAGCCTATTCCGCATTCGAGAGGCTAAGGGCATACAGGCCTATTAGTTATAGCTTCTACCTCATTACACTATCTATAACACCTTCTATATATCCCTTCTTAAGCTATATTACCTACGCGAGGGGGATAAAGCCCCTACTAAATATAAAGATATACTAGCGGATAGTAAAGAGCTATAGTCTGTAGAACGTATTCTAAAGCACCGGACTAGGCAAGGCAAGAAGGAGTACCTATTAAGATAGCAAGGCTATTTACCTAAATAGGACTTATAGGAAGCTAAAGGTTCCTTTAAAAACATAACTAAGTTGTTAGATAAGTATTAGACTAGTATAAAGAACAAGAAGAAGGCTAAGGGCCTATAATGTCGCCTAGGAACAATACTACCCCCGGGGTACTATTAGCTAACTAATTAGAGGCCGGCAAACTAGGACAATAAGACTACACTAGGCGCGCTACGACGCGTCTATTAGTTAATCGCATGCTCTTTTAAGGACTCTAACTCTTTACTAACGCGCCCTGCAGGTCCCCCTCTTATTCTCTTATTCTATTAGGGCCTCGAGGCCTAGGCAATCGGCGAAGACAGCGCGGCCGACGCGGCTATGTTAGTAACGGTATTGCGGAGTATACTATTAGTTAAAGAAGAAGATTAGAAGCGAGGTAAAGTTAGCGCCAAGACGACTAGCGCCGCTATTATTAATATTACCTAGTCGCTACTATTATTAACCTTACCTACGTTAAAACTTTAAGGCACCTTTAATTAAAACTTTAATTAAAGCTTTAAGCCTATTAAAGGTTTGATTAAAACTTTAAGCCGCCTAAAAGATTGAGCGACTAATAGACTAACTAAGGGCAAAACTATAGAGCTAAGCTAGCCGGGGTCGATCTTGCGGATAATAGGTTACTCCTCGATCTATCTAATCCTTTAAGCGAGGCGAACCTCTACTACTATACTTACAATAGCCTTTACCTATAGAAACTAGAAGAACTGAGTTTTTTGAAAAGATAAGATAAGATTAACACTTAAAGGCTGCTAAACCTAGCTAATTAGGGCTAGCGAAACTACGAATAATAAGAATAATAACCCTCGGAAACGGACAAACCCTCGGAAGCGGACATTGCTAGGTCTTTTAAGAGTAGACGCAAAGAACTCGATACAATATTACTTAGAACGGAGGCAGTGCTATAATACCTCGTACGTCTACCTATTATAGTAGGGAAGACGCGCTCGTATTATAATTAGTCGAAGGCCTTTAATTCTTGTAGATATATATTACTTTATAGTTTATTATATATAGAGGTAGCGCAGTTAGAGTTATATATTGTATTATTAGAGGTAAGGTTTAATATAGTTATATAATTAGGTAGTTAAGTGTTTAATTTAGCGCGGGCTAAGTAGCTTATTAGACTAGCTAAGTTAGCGGTAATAGAGGTCGTAGGATATAGATAGGCTACGAGGGCGCGGCCTTTAGAAGGGAAGCGTATATTAGAGCCAAAGAGGCTATACGTAATTGGCATATAATTAGGCCGAGTAAAGCTAGGGTCTTAGTGCCTTAGGTAGGGCTTGGCGCTTAGCGTTAGGCTAACTCTCCTACCTTCCTCCCTCTCCTCTTAGATCCTTATCGAATACTACTCGTACCTACTACTACCCTATCTACCTGCTAATATACCCTTCTTATAACAATAAGGGTAAGAGCAAGTAGATATACCTCGAATTTAGCGTAACAGCTATACTATACGTTAACTTTGGCTTTATTAAGTTATCGCTAGCAACCTTAGTAGAAATTACTATATTCCTAAAGCCCTTTGGAATTTGAAGCATATTTCAACCAAATTCATTAGGGGAGTTGCTAGCAACTCGAGGTTGGGGGTAGGACAGGGGTAAAAGTGGGTCGAGCCAATCAGCGCGAGTTGCTGATATACAGACACCTGCAAAACTTCTTGCAACTTCCATGCAATCTAGCTCCGCACTGATCTAGTCTCATTCCGTGCGAAAGCGTAGGTCCAAGCCCGGCAGGTCTATGCCTTTGAGCTTTGTACTCCAATGCTCTCCATTTTGGATCGGAAAAGCTCTTGTCAATGTACCTGTCGTGATAATCTCACCGGCTTCCAATGGCTTGCTGTACTCATCTTTCGCCAGAAGCTCAGTTAAATGCCTCAAGGCTTTTACTGGACTGCCGAGCACATTGTGCCCATAGCCGCTGTCTAGCTCCTTTCCATAATGATATAGGCGGACCTCAAAATCTTGAAGACTTTGCAGTAATGTTGCGTCTGCGTTGCCTCGAAGCATTTTCCGGGGCCCAACAAGCAGAAGACCATGTAGCGCAAATGCCGCAGTAGTGTCTGCTGCAGTAAATTTCCAGTGCGGGTAGACTGAGGCAACTATCTCGAAGCCATGAGCAATCCACTCGATACAAGACAGGATGTCGATATCATTCATTTCCGGTTGAGGAACGCCTTTAAGGCCAAATATAATCTCCGGCTCAATACGAGGTTCCATGGCATTCAAGCTGCGCAGATCTGCGAGCATTGTCTTTCCTTGAGTCATTTCCTCGGAGCTTGGTAAATCGATGATGGTGTTTTGGTACATGTAGCTCCAATTTGATTCATCGATGCCATATTCGTGCCAAATGTTTTTATTCGTGAAGCCGATTTTGCGCCCAGCCACAACCTCGCCATTCATCTCGCGAAGTTGTCTGATAGCGGCAGCAATATGATACGCCTTCTTCTGGTCAAACTCTCCGCCACCAGACTGGGCCTTTGATAGCAAAGGAATTTGATAGTTGTGAGATCTGGCATGTTCGGCAAAGACGGCCAATTTTCGAATTGCGTCAGGGAACGCCTCCCACTTTGTCTTCTTCTTCAGCATGCCATCAATATCGTTCGCTTCGGTTGCCCATCGCCGCTGAAAACAAGGCCTCAAAGGATTTACCAACCTTGCAGTGGCGCGAGGTAGGGGTTGAGCTCTCAAGGAAGCCATGATTGATCCCTGTACCTCACGGAAGCCCAGATGAGCAAAGATGTAGACAAAGATGTTTGTTCAGGAGATGGTCAACACTTCTCGGCCATGTTCGAAAGCCGATTGGGATCTTGCGGTTGCGATGATGCGTAGGTAGGATGTCAATGTTGATGAAAGCTTCGTGAAAGTATGCACAGCCAAGCTTTCCACGGCCCGGTCCAGCTGCTCGTCAACCTCATCAAGCATTCACTCCAGTGAAGGAGTGAGCTACGGACTCCATGTGCGTCCATCGCCGCGCCCTTCCACAAACGTTTTTGGTGTCATGCTACGGTAATGGTGAGTTGAGGAGTATGCATTCGGGTAGAGGTAGTCCATTGCTAGCCCACAGCACGCCATCTCGGCATGCGACCAGAAAAATCACCTGTTCTTACATTGGATTACTACATGTATACAAAGACCGCTTTAGGACCCGTCCGTGATCATAGCAGTGTCTCCGCCATTCACGATCTTAGGCGTTGTGTCCAGAACGCCAACATAACGTGCGTATGGCACTGTTATCCTTTGGAGATCTCTGTGCTTGCCTAGAACCATTACCACTTCCTTAAGCAAATCTTCACGCTTCCAACCGACGATCTCATCGCCCGTACTCCATTCAACACCAACGTCAGTCTCGTCGGATCCATCTTCTACTGCAAATATGCGCCCCATCAGGCCTTTCAAAAGCTCATCAACCTTTCCTCGGAGGCCTTCAGCGCCAATGCGTTTAGCATACATGATGAGATAAAGTCGGAATTCGTCTTTAGCGCCGAGCGACTGAGCTGCTGCCATGCGGTTCTCAAGATGGGCAATGGAAACGGATGATTCGAATCCCTCGAAACCTTCAGCAGACAGAAGTTGCTTCACCAGACGCTGCAAGAAGTAGGCTCTGCCTTTCAAGAGCGATTGTGAAGTCGTATTTCGTTCAAGTAGAGGCACTATTCCGGCCGATATATTCTCTGGATGAATCTCATCGAGGAAAGTGCCCTGACCAGATGAAGACTTGGCAGAACTCGTCTTGGTAGAGGAGGCGACAGTTGAAATGCTTGTATCTGTGGTGTTCCAGTACTGTGATCCGACGGCCCACCATGATTCGCTTAAGCGCTGCCAGCAGTACATGTTCGGGTTGTACGCGAAGCCGTCACCATTCGACATACCCACCACTATCTTGCCTTGACTGTTCAGCCGTGCGAACATCACACTGGGTCCGTTTGTCAGATGCGGTTGTTGGGCTTGCACTGCTGCGTCCAGCGCCGGCGCAAGAGAGACAGGCGCATGTGGTGAACTCATGGTCTTGATGTTCCATACATAGCACTGCCCAATGGCAGTCACGGCAAGGAGCCACCAGCCACGACAATCTAGAATCACGGGCTGCGATTCAAGCACGCAGGCGTTTAATAACCTTCTGCCAGCAGGTGTCCAAATATGAACACTGCCGTCCTCGCATGACGCGGCCCAGAAATTGCGATTGCCAGTGATCAATAACACAGCTCTCGGGAGAAAGTCTTGCCATAGCGTCTGGCTTCTCCTTGTCAATGTGATTCGCGTGGGCTCTTTGTCTTGTGCACGACCGGTCCGTGACGGACCTGACGCATTTCTGGCTTCGAAGACAATTGATGCATCATTGTCAGTGCTGTCGCCATTTGGCTGCGGATCGCCCTCGTTGCTAATTCTGTGGGGATCGAGAGGTCGCAGAATGACATTTCGTACCAAAGGTACCGCAAGCCTCGTTTGGCTGATTGTTGTGACCGGGTTGATTATAGCAGGACGCAAGACTTCCGGCACATCAACAGGCTTGCTGACACCTGTCGCGGAGCTGGCAGGGACAAGACCATTCTCAGTGTTGTGCACGATAGGCGTGGCGCCAGTCTGTTGTGCAGCATGCACTCGCCTTTCGCTGATCTTTCCTTCTTCATCGTCGCCATCCATCTCCGCGTACTTTCTCTTGTTGCCCAGCAACAGACTGGCCAGCCCTCCCTTGGGTAACCCTTCGTACGGCTTGCTGACATCAACAACCTTAGCTGGCTCATCCGAGGCTGCAGCTCCGTGCTTCACTGCAGCTTGAAGCTGGGGTCGCGGGAGATTCGACTCGCCCTGGTTAGAAGATGAGAGCAACAACGGAGCGACTCGCTTCTTTCCATCTTTCGTGATAGTCACTCGCTGTTTCAGTTTATCGATGCGTTCGGCCTGTGGGTTCTTTGGAGGCGCCGGATGTGGATCTGCAGTAGTTCCATTTGTGAGGCCATTTGTGACCGGCTCTTTGATAGTCGCCTGGCTGTTCACCTGAGCGCCATCGCCCATGAGGTCACCCATTCGACCTTCCACTCGATTCATCTCGGCGTCCTTACTCTGCTCTTCGAGTAACAGTGCATCCGTGTTTTCGACAATGCCAACTCTGCGACCAGCGCCGTATTTGGCAAGTGCCTTATCGTATTCGCCAGCGGGTGCTGGATAGCCAAGCTCGCCCTTCTCGAAGACCAGGGCCGCAATCGTGCCATCCAGTGCTGTCAAGAACAGCGTTTCGCCGTCGGGGCTCCAGGCTAGATCGCTGATCGCTTTGGCACTCAATTCACTCGTGGTGACAAAAGGTCGCGGGAAGCTCGTATTCCATACTGAAAGTGTCTTGTCTTGTCCTGCACACGCTACCACAGTCACTGCGCCAGGCGAAATATAGTCTTTTGGGATTACCGCAGGCGGCGGCTCTCTGCAAAATAGTCTGGGGGAAAACGCGCAGACCTCGACGGGCCCTTCGTGTCCGATCAGGTTGATCTCGCTGTCCCAGCTTCCTCGATTTATGATTGCCACAGAACTGACAGGCCCATTGACGGCATTTGCAGCAGCTATGTGCGCTCCTTCTGGGCTCCATGAGCATCTTCGGAAATATGTGGTCAGCGGCGAGGTGTTGAAGGGTGCAGAGACAGTGGTTTCGAGGGTGAAGTTACTGGTCTGGTCGTAGGCGGTGGCGTTGGGTGGGGGTGAGGTAAACCGGTAGATTTTTATGCTGCGGTCGTCGCTTGCAGTCGCAAAGTATTTGTTGGCTGGGTCGAAGGTGATGCCTTTTACGTGCGACTGGTGCTGAGCAAGTGTCTTCAGCTTCTCAAACGTGCTGCCGCTCCAGACGACAACCTTGCTGTCCAGGCCAACGGAGACAAGGATGGAGCTGTCGCAGCTCCAGCCTAGATCCTGCACATCGTTGTCGTGTCCGATCAAGCGGCGAAAAATGCGCCAGTTCTCTACGGGGGGCGCTTCGTTGCTGCCAAACGTCGCATGCGCCGGCGGACCCGGGTCGAGCGTGTAGACGCATACTATTTTGTCGTCGGCGCCCGAAGCAAGATACTTGCCGTTGGGGCTGAAGCGCACACTGTGGACAGTGCCGGAGTGGTAGGAGAGCGACGCGAGCTGCTTAGGCTGTGTCGCATCGCCATTTTCGATATTGCTGTGGTCTTCTGAAGCATTCACGATGGCCTCCGTGCTCCATATGCGTACGTGTCCGTCACCAGCTGCCGTCGCCAGGCGTGCGCCGTCTGGCGAGACATGGCAGCTGTATACTTCGTGATCCTTTTTCTCGCCTCCATGGATCAGCCACGATGGCTTGGTAAATCTCATTGTCGCTCGATCATATCGCGTTCGTTGAGTGTGTTCGCCGTTCTCGCCTGAGTAGAGTGTGTATTCGCGTGCGGATGCTGGCCTTTTGCGACATGTGAGGTTGCTGTTCTGGTCACTGTTACAGGTGGAAGCTCGCGCCGAGCTTGACTTGGCGAACGCGACGGGAATGATCACATGCGGTCCCCTGAGCGTCAGAATGCCTTAATGCCTTACATTAGTTCATTCACTTCGATAGCAGTTCGGAGCCGAAAGCATTGCCGTTTGTTCGAGTTTCACAAGGTAATTTCATAATGGCTACTAACGTTCTTTCTGTCGCAGTGTCGCTAACGAGTCTTGACACAAAAGACGATCCGAATATCAGATCTGGCCTTGGGGCCACATTCACTCAAGATCGAATCTTCCATACTGCCAGCCGTTATGACGGTCTCCAGTCATAGATGAAAGATGTCAGGTTGAGAAAACGTTTTGTTCGTAATCTGGCAACTTGAATGGTAGTGTGCCTTCATCTACTGGTACGTTTCTTATGGAAGTGTAAGACAAGGACCCTCACAAGGACCAAGGTTGCGTCGTATGATCAAATTGAGAGATATTGACTTGAAAGCCGCTAGTTGCAACTTGCAGATCATCTTTACGAGCGAGTCTCGTGTAGGAGCCGTGATCTGTATGGCTCCAGAAGCTCATTGACCAGCAAAGTAACATTCGAACAACTGCAACATCTCACTGAGAGGCGTAGTAGAAGCAGTGTTGAGGTGAGGCCAAGTGCCAAGTGCCATGTGAAAACGTTGCTCGCCCGCGCCCCTCCCCCGGCTTTCGATTTGCAAAGAATGACGTTGCCCCTTGCCAGATTTCTGGAAGCTTGACCTTTACTCCGGTATACACTACACTTTGAGCACCTCAAGTTGCGAAACAACCCACGCTCGCGCAGAGCACTCCTCACTCTCTTCCTATGGCTACTCAACGGCGGCCGCCTCAGAAGGTCTCGGTAGACGTACCCATATCCAACGGCGACATCAGAAAAGCCGCCGACAGACTAGACTCCCCAAGCGGCTCGCCCTTCCTGCCCACCTCTCTCGAAGCAGCGCTCCTTGCGATTTATCCAGCAACACTCCTGCTGGGTTCCTTGTTCAGCACAATACACCCCGCGAGTCGCAATGCGACATACTTGCCTAACGCGCAATCGTATGATCCCCAGAACGCGCCTAGCTATTTCGCAAAAAAGAGCAATGTCTTCAATGTCTGGTTTGTTAAGATCGGTTGGTTCTGGATCACGCTCGCATTCACACTCTTGATCTTTTCGCATTCATCGCTGGGGCCTCCACTTCGCCCACAGCTCACCAAGAGACGTATACAAGCGATACTACGGTACATCTGCGTCACAGTCATCTGGATCTTCGTCACGCAGTGGTTTTTTGGACCAGCGATCATTGATCGAAGCTTTCGGTGGACGGGTGGAAAATGTAACCAGGTACTATCGGACACCTTGGATGAGAAGATGGAAAGAGGAGACGTGAAGGAGGTCTTTTCGCATGCCGCATGTAAGGCTGTCGGCGGCCAGTGGGCAGGCGGTCATGATATCAGTGGACACGTGTTCCTCCTCATACTCGGAAGCGCAATGCTATGGCTTGAGCTTCTGCCAGCTGTTTTGCGGACAGAAGGGCTTCGAGAGAAGAGGCGAGTCATGGGTCCGGATGGCCTGACCAGAAGTGCTTCGTTCGAGGTGGATGCACGTTCGGCGCACACCAACACAAGGGACGAGTTGGGATTCGGCGTCAAGGCAGCCCTGGGTGTGGCATTCTTGAGTTGGTGGATGCTGCTCATGACCGCAGCGTACTTTCACACTTGGTTTGAAAAAGTCACTGGTCTATTAGTGGCGTTCTTGTCAATCTACACAGTATATTTTCTGCCAAGGGGCATGCCTGGACTGCGGCAGTGGCTCGGCATGCCTGTGCAGTGAGCTGCGGGCTGAGATCAACCGGGGGCATTGATGAGAACCTTGCGGGCTTCCCTCTCGAGTCAATAACCTAGCAGTGTCATCAGACTGTCGATTTTTGTGCGGTTCTTTTCTTTTCGGAAATGCCGAGCGGGAGGTCGTGATCGTGTTCGATGTCTCAAGTCAGGCTCCACACTGTCTTCACGGGCGAGATGAAGCTTGAGCGATTGCTGTGCAGAATATATCGATGTACAGTACAGCTGGCTGGCATAACAACAACGGTGTCTTTTCAAATCGTTGATCGGCTTCCAAAGCAGAATTGCAGGATTGCAGACCCCGGGCGCCACGATGGCGAATCGGCGCCGCAGCGCAACGCGCAAACGGCGGTTCGGGCTGTTGTTTGCAAAGCTTGCGTCTTCGGGACCGTATCCAGTCCCTGACTCCCTGCGCCTCATCCAGGTTCGTGTTCGCTATCGCCAAAACCGCATCTTGTTGTATGCGTTAGGGATGTTTCCCCCCAGGCCCCAGCACAGCCGCACCACCCAAGCAATGTGTCCTGAGGCTTTTTATTAGCAGCGGACATACCGCTACACTCGCTGCTGTTCGTGCCTGATGCCAGCTGCCTCGTCGACACGTCTCCCTCTCTCGCTCCCGTGCGAAAGCCTGGCTTTGGCCCCGAGCATTGCAACAGCAACATCTGCAATGGTCAACCTGGTGAGGCGTCGCTCCAATTCCATGACACGCTTCGACTGGACGAGAGATCTGGGATTGAGCTCCGATTTCCAGCGATGTACGAGAGAAAATGTAGACTGGACTGCCAGTCGTCTTGGCCCTATGTTGGACTGGCCCGCGTCTCTGCGTCAGATGGTGCTCATCTGTCTTGCTGATAGCGCACCGTCGGCAGTGCTTTGGGGCGCGGATACTGCGATTGTTTACAATGAACCCTTCTCTATCCTCATTGGGAACAAGCATCCCAAACTCCAGGGCCAGCTCGTAACCGGCCAACTCTCCGACCTATGTTCCGACCTCGATGCAGTGTGGCAGAGGCAAGCCCTAGACGGAATCACCGTGACCATCAAGAATCAACGAATCAGACAAGAGAGACTTGGCTTTGTGGAAGAGAGGACATATCACTGGAAACTCGTGCCAATCATAGGAGATGATGGTTTCGTTGCTGGGAGCCTCGTCAGCATAGAAGACAACGACAAAGTGCCACCGAGAAGAGAGCGTAGCAAGTCGGCAGCAAGAGAGTTCGGCAACGCTATCAAAGGTGCGGCCAATACCACAGCTTCAAACATTCTTCGATTGGAACAGCACTTTTCTGGCAAGACATGCAATTGTGAAAAGTTATGGGAGGCTACGCAACAACTCCGAATTCACGAGCAACGCTATGAGAAGTTCGCAGACTTTGCCCCTGTGGGTATAGCGGCGCTCGACAAAGACTACCAAGTCGAATGGGCCAACAAGGCATACTTTGACACGATGGCGGCACCTGAAGATGCCAAGTCTTTCTTCGCCTATCTTCATCCTGACGACGTTGCTATGGCCCAAGGATACTTCGATACTGGCGCGTTTCGAGACGACTCGTTCACATTCGAATGCCGTTTGAAGAAATGGCCTGCGAAGAAAGCCTCTAGCCCACTCGAAAGCCCGCGTCCGCTCGAGCCCAGCCCTTCTTGGGTACTCGTATCGGCGTATAGGGAATCAGATCATGAGCAGCATACTATGTGCTGGCTCATAGACATCACTGCTCACAAGAACGCGGAGGAGTTCCTGCGGAAGCGGATGTATGAGGCTGTGGAGATGAGGCAGCAGAAAGAGCGCTTCATCGACTTGATCAGCCATGAGATACGGAATCCATTGTCAGCGATGACCCATTGCATAGACGACATAATTGAGACTGCAAAGCAAGAAGCCATTGGCCCAACCGACGATGTTCTCGAGGCAGCACAGACCATTTCGTATTGTACCCAACACATCAAGAATATTGTTGGAGATGTCCTCACGCTTTCGAAGCTCGACTCGCGTCTTGTCGACATATGCCCGCAACCGACACAACCGAAGTTACTTGTTCAAGAAGCGCTTAGGATGTTTACTCGAGAATTGCGAGCTTCTGCCATTGACCTCGAACTGGACATTGACCCTTCTCTAGCAGAGCTCGAAGTGGACTGGCTCATGATGGATCCTGGTCGCTTTTTGCAGGTTTTGATCAACTTGACCACCAACGCGATCAAGGTGGTAAAGGACAGGAGCAAGCGATTGATTACCGTTAAGATGAGCGCGACGCATGGTCCAGCGTGCAAAGCCAGTGACGAAGTGCAATGTGTCCTCCCTCGCCAAGCTCGCAAGCCTGTCGATTTCCCAGAGCCGTACGATCTGGCTAAATCTCTGTACCTAGTCTGCAGTGTTGAAGACACGGGCCCTGGACTGGAGAAGCATGAGCTGGCGAGTCTGTTCGAACGCTTCGCTCAAGAGAATCCGAAGACTGAGAGCAGATACGGCGGATCAGGCCTAGGCCTCTTTATTTCGCGTGATCTGACCGAATTGCAGGGAGGACGTATAGGTGTGGCATCGCAGCCTGGTGTCGGATCGAAGTTCGTCTTCTCCATCGAAGTAAAGCGCGCCACCGAGCCAGTTGTATCAGTTCAAGTCCCTTCTGTCGAGGCAACCAAAGGGCTTCAGGTATCCATTAGCTGCGAGTCTCCTGTTGCTACTAAGCCAGCAGCCGTGTTGCCCGTCCAGGAACCTTTGCGAGGACAGGGCATAATAAGAAAAGACTCTCTCAAGAATAAGGACAAAGCTGCCCCTCGAAAGCTTCTCATCGTCGAGGACAACTCAATCAATGCAAAGGTCCTCTCAAATCAGCTTCGAAAACGAGGTTACGACGTATCGGTGGCGATAAATGGCGAAGAAGCACTCGAAAAGCTCAAAATGACCACTCCTCCTTCACGACCATCTCCAGTCTCTACCGCTTCGACAGCTTCGAATTCGACACCTTCTGTAGACTCAGTCCTCAGCACAACAATTCGACGAAAACCAGTACCGTCGTCTACGGAGACAATTTCTCCAGCACAATCCGATTTCGATGTCGTGCTAATGGATATCGAGGTACGTACAGATGCGAAGTGCTGCCTGTATCAAATGCTGACATGCTTTTAGATGCCAGTTATGGACGGGATTACCTGTACACAGCAGATTCGTGCATTCGAAGCGAATCAAGGAGCGCATCATCGGCTGCCAATCATTGCGGTAACGGCGAATGTGAGGAGTGAGCATGGCAGTGCTGCGCTGGAGGCTGGCATGGATGCCATTACCACGAAGCCGTACAAGATTGAGGATCTTGTGAAACAGGTGGAGCAGTTTGTCAGTTGACGACCTGAGCTCCCGTGGACCAGGTGACAGGAACGTCAGAGGCCGACGAGTTCTCTGGTGTGAAATGTCTCGAGTTACAAGGTTGCCATTACCGATAAATAGATGGCCGTCGTAGGCCCGACGACATCTGCTTTCAGTTGTACAATAGTGATACCCCAGATCCAGCCGCCCGCTCGCTCAGAACGCAGCAGGGAGGTATAATGCAATAGTAATGATTCAGCAAAGCAAGCAGAGCTGGAACTCTCCTATCCAAGCCAGCTTCAAGAGATCTTCTTGATTCTCCTCCTCGCCACGTCGATCTTCCCTTGCACGCGATCGACGTCCTGGTCCACCAGTCCCAGCATCTCATTCTGAACTTCCAACTCCTCGTTAATCATGATGCCCATGTCTTTCAGTCGAGCCACAGTCTTTCCAAGTGCTAGCACATCCTCATCCTGTTCCTGCATGACCTGTTTCTGTAACTGTAATACACCCGAATTATCCAATTCTCTGGTCCTTTCAGTCTCCTTGAGAGGACCCCCGAGAACTCTTCCAGAAGGTTTTGCGCCCGCGCTTGTGCCTTTCCAAAGCTCTGACTTTTGCTCACTGGTCGCCGCAGCAGAGGAATTCATAACAGAAGCTGTGGCTTTGGCAGTTTGCGCCGCCATGCTCTTCAGAACACCTTCTAAACCCTCCACCTCTTTCTTTGCAGCTCCTATCAGATCTTTCCTTCGTCTGATCTCTCCTTCGCCGAGCTTCTTGGCTCCACCCCAGCCCGCGTCATCACCTTTTGATGCGGCAGATATGGCTTTCAATCCATCTTCTAGCTGGGCTATGTTGGTGGCAGCTCGGACCAGACTCGCTTTTGCTTCTGCTGATAATGAGTGCTGGGCCTGAGCGGTTGTGGCGGCCTCGCGCTGCTTGAGTTGGGAGCGTGCAGCTTGAATGTATGATTTCAGGTCGCGATGCACATCCAGCCACTGGTTGGGATCTGTGACGGCTACTCCAGCGCTCCCAGGTCGTTGTGACGTGCTGCCATTCGTGGTAGTCGTGGTGATGCTGCCACTCGGTAGGTTGAGGAACGATCTCCAGACACTACTACTTCGCCATCGCGCATCCGAAGATTCCAAAATTGCTTTGATGTATTTCTCTAAGCCCTGCCGTCGTTCTTCTGTCAGGGCCTCGCTATTTACAGTTCGTCGGAGCCAGGACTTCGCAGGTAGCGGCGCGGGAGGCGCTTTGCCGGTGTGTGATGTAAGCTCGTCGTTGAGAGTGAGGAAGTCATTGTATCGCTTCTTGATCTCGTGTTTTCGGAGCGGTAGTTGCAGGGCGATGTGGTATTGCGTATAGGGTTTTCCGTCTGCGGGTGTCGTGATAGATGTGGTGGGTATTGAGATCTGGAGTGCCGGAGCCATGCTGGAGGCGACACACAACAACGAATGCGCTTCTTGAAGGACACCAGATCCGAGAGAGGTCTATCGAGGCCAAGGCCAAGCGGAAGGAGTGTCACGCTTTCAAGGTCAGGTCGGGCAGTAGCGCATTACATTGCCGAATCAACGTCTCCTGCCCTGCCTGCTTGTATCATCGAAGGTGAGAGCTCGTTGCGTCATTTGTCGCGTGCGGAAGGGAAAGCTCGGATGGAAGCGAAGCTAAGCTTGCCGAGAACCTAGACAGAACTATTTGTGGATTTGTGGCTACCGCAATCGCCCAGCACCAAAACACCCGCAACAACGACTCCTACTCTGGCCATACCAGGGTTATTTTGAGATGCAGTCCATACGGCAGATCGAGCGACTGAATCAGACCGAGCTCGACAAATGCATCCCGCCGAACGCTTCATGGCACACTGACTATCGCGACACGGCATATGTCTACATCGGCGGCCTTCCTTTCGAGCTCAGTGAAGGCGATATTCTGACCATTTTCAGCCAATATGGCAATCCCGTACACATCAACTTGGTTCGCGACAAAGATACGGGCAAGAGCAGGGGCTTCTGCTTTCTCAAGTACGAAGATCAGAGAAGTTGCGATCTGGCTGTTGACAATTTGAGCGGTGCTGGAGTCATGGGTCGTGTCATTAGTGTCGATCACACGCGCTACAAGAAGAAGGAGGGCGAAATTGAGGGTATTGGCGATGAGCAAGAGGAAGATGCAAATGACACGGACCGTGAGGTTGACGACAGGAGAAAGCGCAGGAAGACGGAAAGTGAGAGTGAGGATGAGCGGCCTTTGATCAAAGAAGAAGTTGAACTGCAAAAGCTGCTACGAGATCATGACGATGATGATCCCATGAAGGAGTATCTGGTCAAGGCGAAACGAGAGGAAGTTGCGGAAGCGCTGAAGGCCGTGGTCAAGCACAAATCCAAAGAACAGGATCGTGAAAGAAAGCACAGGCACCACCATCGGTCTCACAGGAGTGACCATAAACGCGACGACAGGGAGCACAGGCATCGATCTCGGAGGAAAGAGATGGACGATGGCGACTCGGAACGTAGGGATCGCTCTAGGAGGGAGCCTGAGGATCGTAGAGGCAGTGGGAGACACCACCAATCTCGCCGTTCTGGGCACGAGGAGGGTGATGATATGAGCGATGGAGGACATGGTGAACGACGGCCTCGTCGAGAACGAGACGGGACGCCAGGTTCAGGCAGAGACGGTCAACGTAGACACGAGCCGCGAAGAGACGAGGTTGCAGAGAAAGGAGACCATTCGCGGCGACGGAGAAGCTTTGATTCTGACGACGATCGGACAGAAAATCGAAGCAGAGCAGGCGAGAGACGTCGATGATACCATGGTACCTGGTCATTTCAATTCTCGCCATAGTCGACTTCGTGACGCCTCGTCTATTGGTAGATCGAAATGAAAGACGACAAGCTCCCCATGGTCGCTCCGAAAGGCTTCTTGCTCAGCGTCGAAAGCTCTCGTCGCGCCTAGAGTCTAAGCCATAAAAAGCTGTTCTTTCTGGTCAGTACTTGATGATCCAAGCAATTAGGACTTGCACAACGTACATGTGCCGCGAAACACTGTATGGCAATCTGGTGTTTCGCGTGAAAATACAGCTACGACTCGACTGGCAAAGAAAATCTACCACCGGTGTGTTAGAAGCGCAAAGCCATCAAACATCCTGCCACGATTGCATGCATCGGTGTCTGAGCTGCCAGTCCATGGCCTCTCGATAGCGCGCGTTCGAACAGGAAATCGAAAAGGCAACGCGCATCCCAGCAGCCGTCACTTCCAGATCCTTGAGCATACCATGTTCGCGCTGCTTAAGCTCCTGCATGCATCACGCATCATTGGTCGTGAAGCTCCTAGCATGGATGCTCACAATGTCTTTTGACAAGCACCAACCCTACCAACGAAGGTACACGCTCAACCACAGCGACTTCAAGTCTGGCTATGGCGAATGTCTGCAAAACGTTCCAAGTCTCTGTGAGTTGTCGTCGAGCCAGCGTTGCTCACGAGCCTTGACGTGAAATTCAGTATAATGCGCAATGGCATCCGACCTTCAATCAACCTCGACTCCTCGCTTCTGCACACTTTCAGACAGCACAGCGCTGGGCTCGCCCATGATTTGCGTGTTTATCTTTCTTCTTGGCGTCAACCTTCGTGCATCACGGGCCTTGAACTGAAAGTGAGGGCTTTCGCAACTTGACTGAATGTGCTGGAACTCACAATCTGAACGTGAGGACCTTTCTTCCAGGCCCAAGAGGTGCGCGCATAAAAGGTGGGTTGTCTCTTCTGTTTAACATTCCTCATTTCCGTACACTTTTTACGTAGCTCACCTCCATGCTCTATGAGCCTTTCTCTGCATCTCGGTCACAACGCCCACTCGCTTGTCAGGAAGTTTCTTGCTCTTGACTACCACGCAAGACGACACATTTGTATGTAAGTACCATCCATCTCTCGAGACCAACTGCTATTCTATTGTGCCATTCGCAAAAGACCTCGCAATCATTGGATGGACTTGACTGGCTCACTTCAAGCCTCACTTGCCATCGCATGCATGCATCTGCATGACCGTTGACGCTAACACTAGGCATCTCCGAGCTGCTAACACATCGCAGGTCAACCTCACTTCATCCTTCACGTCCTTCAGCAACCGACTTCTGGCACGAACCCCCAACTTCACGCATCGCTCCACCTCCAGTCTGCCATCCGTCGTTCCCAGCAGGGCCCGATGCGATGACTGAAATCAAGGTCGAGCACGGTGCACAGCAGCAGGCACAAGCTGCTATGGCCATACGAGAACAATCTCCTATCAGCATCGTCTCTTCGGTGGCACCTTCTCCTGCTGCAGACGCAGCGACTCAGGCCGAGACCGCTGCCACCACTCCCGATGGAGACGTGGAGATGACAAATGGCATACCAGCAAAAGGCGCCCTCGAAAGTGTCGGTAGTCGAAGCCGCGATCTCATTCAAGTCATCCAGCGTCTCTCTTTGCTCGGAATTAACGCAACACTACCATCACTGCCCAAGTTCGTGGTTGTCGGGGATCAGTCTGCTGGCAAAAGCTCAATCGTAAGTAACACACCCTAATTCGCGTTACGTATGGTTCACTAATGTTCCACGCAGATCGAGGCAACATGCGACATCACATTGCCTCGCAGCGAAGGCACTTGCACCAAATGCCCGTTTCAAATCACAACTACGGCACAGCAAGACCAAGCAGAGCCCTGGAAGTGTACCGTCAGTATTCTTCGCAAATACACATACGGCACCCACTATGTCGCTGGCATGCACGGCGCAGAGTTCAACCGTTGGAGGGCGGACGCAGAGACTTCATGTCTGCTCTTTGCGGTCATTCATGACAAGAATGAGCTCGAGTCAACTCTACGCCGCGCCCAGTTGGCCGTGTTGAACCCAGACAAGGATTACCACATGTTCAAAGACCCGGCAACAGCAGCGCCAATCAAAGATACTGTTGGATTCTCCCCGAACGTTATCAGCCTCAAGATCGAAGCAGCAAACTTACCAGAACTGTCTTTCTACGATCTGCCTGGAGCGATCAACTCCGTACCCGATGAGTCTGATGCCCATCTTGTTATATTCATCGAAAAGCTTCTGGAGATTTACGTACGCGACGAGAAAGCCCTGATACTGCTGGCTTGCGCCTCCAACCAAGACGTGGAGACGTCGACTTCGCTTCGGTTTCTCCGTAACTGGTCAGCCACGCGCCGAGCAATGGGAGTCCTTACAAAGCCGGATTTGGTGGACTTGACGCCGGCTCGGCTGGCGAACTTCGAGCGTATCCTTCAAGGAAAGGACTTCGCATTGGGCCACGGCTGGTTCATTACACGCCAGCTCTCGCAGAAGCAGCTGAACCAGGCATCCCACATTACACATGACCAAGCTCGGCAACAAGAAGCCGCATTCTTCGCCGAAGAACCCTGGAGTGCTGGTGGCCTAGCTGCATATGCGAATCGATTCGGCATCCCATATCTGCAGGACGCAATCTCTACCCAGCTCACGAATCACATCTTAGCTGAGCTTCCCGAGATCAGAGCCCGTGTTGAGGCTCGTCGTCATGAAGTTGAAGATGCGCTGGGACGATTCCCCAAGAAGGCCGATGCTCCAGCTCTGAGCGTGTATATCGAATACAAGAATGTCCAAGACGCGATTCAGAAGCAGATCGAGCCGGAGAGCACGGCAGACTTCCGCGTCGAATACCAACGTTTGATGAAATCATACAGCACCAGGATTCGAAATAGCCTGCCCACGGTCGATCTGACCACTCCCGGCTATGAGGCGCCTGTGCAGGAGATCGATTCCGATTCGGAGCAGGACACGCCTTCCAAGAAGCGGCAGAGAACAGCTACGCCGTCGCGCTCGATTGTAGCAGGATCTTCGAAAATCACACCAGACTCTCGCAGTCGCCGCACACCGCAGATAAACCACGATGCTCCGCGGACGAGCAAGCGTGAGACCTTCAATCTGGAGGAAGTGCACGCCAAGTTCGAGAATGCTCCAAGCACAGTCTTTGGCGAGACAAACTCGGAAGTGTCGAAGGCCTTTGCGGTTTTCGCAGTCAAGAAAATCCTCCCGAAGATCACCAACACTCTGATGCAATCAATTGAAAAGCTCTTCGGCACGATGATCACAGCAACCATCCAGAATGTGCTCTGCGCTCGTCAGCCGACGCAGCTCTTCGCTCGAGTCATGGAAATTACCGGAGGCCTCCTTCAGCAATTGATTTTGAGGCGCTCTGAATTCATTCAGGAACTCGTCAATGCGGAGTGCGCTCGTACACTCACCTTGAACCGCCAATGCACGGAGCGGAGGTCCTATTGGGAGAGCGAGCTCCGCAAACGCCGTGCAATCGTCCGTGTGCGCGAGCATTTCGAGACGATGAATGCCGAGAACAACGGCAAGAAGATCATTTCGGTGCCGGAACAAGAGAAGAAGGCTACGGATCTCGAATGGGTCAACAACAATCTTGGAGCTGACCCTTACGATCGTGAAGTCGTGGGTCTCGCCCTGCCGTTTGCCTACTACGAAATTGCGACTGCCGCATTTGTGGACGTGGTTATCAAACAGCTTGACTTCGGCCTGGTCGCGCGCTACCATGATATGCTTCCAGACACGCTCAAGGACGGCTTGGCCGGCGACGACGAGCACTGCGCTCAGCTTCTCGCAGAAGATCCTCAGCGCGAGCGCGATCGTCTTCGTCTTCTGGCCGAGCATGGTAAGCTTGTGGATGCTTTGAACGAGCTCAGAGGCTTGTCGGATGGTCCCGTCTGAACGACCTCTGTGCTCTTATGCCATCGCAATCGACTTCCACGAGGTCTGTGGTCAGGGGTTGTTCTGCATTCGAAGCAGCGAAGGGACTGACTACAAGACGAGGACTGGGAAAGAGACGGTCTGCAAATTGCCATGAAGTGAAATTCTGGAGGGGTTTTGCGACATGTTGGCTCAAACAAATAGGTAGTTCATGCATTGGCCACTGGAGGGCTCGTGGCGCTAAAATGATCACTGCTTCCAGGGCCGCCGCACTGTACTGTAGTCCAATACTTGTGGCATACTATCGCGCAATTGACACAAGCACTCTGGCGTCTCGCCCCGCAGTATCTTTCACGAGAGGCACAGCTCATCCTCGCTGTCTTCAATAGTGCGCTTGGTCGCTATCCTTGTTGAAAGCCGTCGCTTCTTGGATGGCCTGGATGCAGGAATAAGGACTTGCGGATGCGCGTACCCATCGATCTGGACCAGAGCTGGTCTTTCTCGCTTTCGTCTTGCAGGGGCTTTCTGCGCTTTCTTAGCTGCGGCAGGAATTGGGGTGAGGGCCAGGATATCTGGTGAACGCAAAACGAGCCCGTCGGATTCAGACTGTGCGTCCTCAGAGGGCTCGCCATTCTCCTTGTCATCTCGTAGGTCAGAGGAAGCAACGGCTGGGGTGAATGGTGTCCTCGAAATCCATTCGGCGATGTCGTCCTCCCAACGAAGCTTTCTTCGCTTGTCTTTCAGGTGGGGCGTCTTGAAAGAAGCAGCTTCTTCTGTTCGACTATACCCCATGATCTTTGCTACCTTGTCCATATAGTCGCACGCTTCAAACTGCTCCAGTCGTGGCGAAAGGGCGTGTACGGCTCGTGATGCTAGGTCTTGCAACGACTGGAACAACAAAGCTGGCATTGCTTCACTTTCCAAACTTTCATAAATCCGGTCAATGAGCAGGCCTACTAGAGGCTGTCGAGTTTGATCACTGAGTGCGGCCAGATCTTCCGCAAGCGCCGCTGTGAAGGTATTTGAAGCATCTCTCCATTTCCGGTCCCATCTGTGATCGTTGACCGTCCGGATGCTGTCCATGAATGGGGTCAGGCCCGAGGGCGTAGTGAAGGACAAAGCTTCTTGAATAAGACAGGCGTGCGCCACAGGGTGGTGGAGCAGGTGACAATATGATTTGCCGCCTTCACCGAGCGCAGCCTCATGTGCCAACCTATGCAATACCCGTGAATCGGGACCTTCTGAGACCATGGAGCCCGCCAAGGTCATTGCGCATAGCTTCGAATACATGTCCAATGTTCCTTTTGACAAGGCTTTCGATTGCGCTGCTGTGATCTCTTGCTGGTCGATCGCTTGAAGATCTAGGGTAGTCCAATGTGGGAGCAAGCTCGCTGTGCCAGGACTCAAATCTTCAATCGTCCACGTGGATGCCAGAACCATTCTCAGGATCTCTGGCATGCGAATCATTTCTGCAAGAATTGTGGGACTCTTTTGCGAATATTGACTCAGAAGTCGTTCGGTCATAGTAGCTGCAAGAGGGCCATCACAAAATTTCCAAACCCGAGCTGCGTTCCAATGCGGCAGTCTCGAGAGACATGCCCGAGAGATCTCTTCGGCCTCAGGCATAGCATCGCACTTGCAGCAAATATCGACCAGTTGATCAATAATGCCGTCCGAGAGCAGGCCATCGGACACAGCTTGGCATATCTGTGAGACGCATTGGGCACGGACGACTACTCGCAGGCCTAACCATCCGGCTCCATGCGAACTGCTCATCGTTTCCTCGAGCACACCAAGCACATCAGAGGATTTTTGGTCGTCGCCCTCATCGTCCTTGTATTGCTCGTCGATTGCGATGTAATTGGGTACTTGGCGAAGGCAAGTGGACAGCAGAGAGCGAGCGCCCAAGCTTCGGTTGCGCGACTCGCTTTTGGTGCTCTGAAGTACATGCTCCCAAGCTGCCATCAGTGCCACCTCGGCGCCTGCTCGCGCTGAACATGGCTTGAGCGGTAGCTGCCTCGAACGACGTCGCTTCGGGCACACAGCTTTTTCCGAGCCGGCATTGAAAGGCGTCTGGTCGCGATTCGTGATGGTTGTGCGGCTGCGGCTTGCGTCGTCGACGTTAGCCTGCATCAGTCTTTGCACGAAAGGACTCGGCACAGTCAACAAGGTCTTGGAGATTCTTCTCTCGTCCTCAACACCGGCTTTGAATCGCTTGATGGCTTTCGTCTTCCCCGCATACGACGTTTGCTGGTGAGCTTTTGCTTTGGCGTCTGGCAGCCATGCAGGATCGATCGTCGACCAATGTTCGGCTTTTGGGCGAGAGACATGACACGGGCGGCGCTGTTGGCACCACTTCTTGACGTCGGGTTGTATAATGTTGCGTAGAGCCTCGAGCCTAGAGGTTATGCTCCTCAGCAGCCGGTTGCATCGCGCCTCGGTCCAGATGTCATCATTTGGGAGGGCATGAACTCGACGAGATGGCTCGCGAGATCTCGTGTATGCATGCTGAGAAGACATGCTTTCTAATTGTGCAAGATGTATGCTGAGAAGACATGCTTTCTAATTGTGAGCCATGCTGCAAACAAACAAACAAACAATCCGGACCCTGGATATTCTATTCTCAGCGACAAAAACCCTGAGCTTTTTGAGCCGCGGGGCAGCTGATGCCGCCCCTATACTATCTATTATACTAATTCTACTACCATTCCCAATATACTGTACCAATAAATTCCATTGATTTCCTAATAAATACTATAAGCTCGCAGCTTTATTCTAATATAGATATCGACCTAATTAGTAGTATTATTATTACGTAAGAATATAACGTAGATACTAGGGCGTATAGCGAGTTACTAAGTCGACCCGCTAAATACCTGTTTTCTGCTTTCTTAGCATTCTACGGTTTGTATAATATACTAATATATACTATAATCGTAAGATACCGAGTTAATATATAATATAATAAGAATCTTCGTCGCTATTGCCTCTACTATAAGGTATAGATACGTAGAACTAGACTGAATTGCCTAACTTGTCGCAAATCTATACGGTTCCTCTACCTCTAATTCTCGAAGAAACACTACTACTAAGCGACGCCTTAATATACGATAATACCGACGATATTATAGCGGCGGAAGAAGGATTAATATATACTAAAAGAGATCCGGTAGATATTGCCTTATTATAGGACGTAAGAAGGTAGACTAGAAGGACGAGAAGTTAGATATAAAGCTAACCTCGATAGTCCCTACTACTACCTCCTATACCTCCTAAGAAGCGTACGCTAAAGAGCGCTAAAGATGCTTATTTACTAGCAAAACAGCTAGAAGCGGAGGTTGCCGCTACTTAGGCTAGTAGCTAGTCTACGAGTAAGAGGAGGACTTCTCGGGCAAGCTTAATAACAAGTGCCTCGAAGAAGGCAAAGAAGGTCTAATTTAAGGCTACTAAGGTCGCTAAGACTTAATAAAGCGATATTGGCTCGCTAATAAGTGATATACTTCTACTAGAAGAACCTCTACTAGAAGAACCTCTACTAGAAGAACCTCTACTAGAAGAACCTCTACTAGAAGAACCTCTACTAGAAGAACCTCTACTAGACGAGCCTCTACTAGACGAGCCTCTTCTAGAGGCTATTAAGCAAGAAGTTACTATTATACGGGTTACTAAGAGGGCTAAGAAGCCGCCTAAGAAGGCTATTATCGAGGAGGCTATACTAAAGCCGACTAAGAAGAAGGCTTCTTCTTCTACTATTAAAGCTACTTCTACTACGAAGAAGGTAGCTTTAAGGGCTTCTATAATACCTAAACTAGATACTATTAACGTCGAGCTATAGGTCTACTTCAACCGTAAAGACCTTAGCAAGGACTATAGTATTATAGGTAATAGTGCCGTACCTATTCGACGGTTAATTAACGAGGCTTCTACGAAGGTAATAATCTACGCTACTAAGAATAGCTTTAACTACTGCTTAATCCGTCGCTATTGCGAGATATAAGCCCTGCTAGTAAAGAATAGTAAGCCCTAGTCTAAGGACTTCCTTATAATAGAAGGATAGCAAGAATAGATAGGCAAAGGTCCTAGTATCCTTAAATACTTCCGCTAGATAAAGCCTCTTAGTATTTAGGTCCTTATAACTAAATACTAAAGCTATAGAGCTAATACACCGTTTGCTAAACTTAGTCTAAGGATTGAATGTAAACCGGCGGTAGTGTAATAGCCTTCTTTATAACTAGACCCGCTATCTTCCGATGCTATTAATATACTATTAAGTCTACTACCTCGAGAGCCTAAGTGTTACGGTTACTCGCGACAGATCGTTAGGTAACTTCTTATTACGTACAAGCCGAGGCTTCTTTAGAGAGGCTAATACAAGCGGGAGGCAGAGACAGAATAATTGGTATAAAGGTAATTCCAATTAGTAAGTAGGTAATATAAGTTAAACGCCTCGAGCTATAAGGGCATTCCGGCGTTCCTAAATATAAAGGAGATATCTTGTCTATAGTCGTAAGCGACGTAAGCGACGCTATCGCTCTCGACCGCTCCTATCGCTCCTAGTAAGATAGAGCGACAGCTTAGCCTACTAGTCTTAGCGTCGCTCTAAGATTATATAAGGACTCTAACTAATTAGATCCGTAACACTATCCCCCTCCTTAAGCGGGATAGTCCCTTATTCCGGAACTTTCTAATTCTAACTTCTTTGCTATACTAAAGTTATTAAAGGACTTGTCTTCTCGTTAGCGTAAGGAAAATATCGCAAATAACATCCTTGCCGACTGCCTCGAAATACCGATCCGCTACTTTTATTGCGAATAGGCCGATAAATCCTACAAAGTCGATCTCCGTTCCGGCCGCTACTCCGAGTGCGCCCTATACGGCTAGTCCTATAATATATAAGTTACTCGTATAGAGTATAAAAAAATCCGGAAGGCGCGCCTAAAGATAGCTAAAGATCTCGAAGCGGCCGAAGAGGAGGAAGACCTCCTTACGCGGAAGCTTTTCGAGTATCGCGTAAAGGTCCGTCGCTTACGTAAGTCGCTACGTATAAAGGAAGATTGGGAGGTACAAGCTCTTAAGGTAGAGGAAGCCTCTATTTAATAGGCGGAGGAGCTCGAAAGAGAGCTAGGCTCTTCGCCTATAGAGCCGATAATATTCTCGTTACCTGCTAACGAGCCGTTTCCCCTAGATAGCCGATTATAGATGTCGCCTTATAACTAGAGTCGTCTAGATAGGACGTCCTAGCCTACCTCTAAAATTCCTAGTAGGAGTGCCGAGAGTCTAGTGTCCTAAAGGTATATATTTTCAATGTTTCCTATCTATTTTATCTTCTAGCTAGTTAGTCTAGTAGTATGATTCTTAGCTATAAAAGACATAGTTGCTAGGTATGCTATTAGAGTCCCCGCTCCTCGAGCTATACTACCCTAGGTCGTTAAGAACTCTAAGGCGCTATAATCGATAGGGTCTAAGAGGTCGTAGGTTCAATTCCTATACTAGTTATTTCTTTTTTGTCCGGTTTTGATATTTTTTAATTATCTGCTAACAGTTCTGCAGGTTTTCTTTTAGTTCCTAAGTGTTTTCTGAATGTAGGTATCCTTTCCATTTAATAAGGTATTTCTAACCTTACTAATCTAGGATCTTTTCGACTTTAAACTTATTTTCTTCCTTAAGTTAGAAGTGAAATGTTTCTTAATACGGTGTTTCGGCGTCTACAGGTTCTAGTATAGAGATATAGAATACTAGGTAGATTTTCGCGTCGTCCGGTAATTTAAGTCGGTAATTAACTAGTCCTTTAGGCTTATTAATTAGAAATAGCCCGACTTTAACGTAATCTAGTTTCTTAGTCGATCTCCGGGTTTTTAGATTCTTTGTTAAGAGGTAGACCTTATCCCCCTTTTTTAGCTAAGGTGCTATTTTTCGTTTAGCATTATATAGCCCCGTAATCTTTTCTTAAGACTCGGCAATTGCCCTTTGCAATTCCTTATATACCTGCTTTAAGTCCTCTAAAGCGACTATCGCTTTATCCGCGTATAGATGCTATAAATACTATTCCCCGAACAGCTGCGGATGTTTCCTAAAATTAGCGAAGAATAGTGTCTCTTTCGTAGTCTTAGATTGTTGGTTATTTAGTGTAAGTTGTGCTATAGGTAATAGCGATGCCTAATTGTTTTGTGCGTAATTAACGTAGTGCCGTAAGTATACCTCTAAGGCCTAATTCTTAACTTCCGTTTAGCCGTCTATCTATAGATAGTATACCGTTAATAGCTTGTGCTTAATTCTAAGTGTCGCTGTAAGCGTCTTCTAGTAGTTTAATATAAAGAGCTTGTCTCTATCCGTAATATAGGTCTTTAGAAATCCGTAGTATCGTACAAGTCTATCTAGTACGAGGTATCCGAGTTACTCTGCCGTACTTGCTTCGTTAGCAGGAATGAAGTGTATATATTTCGTAAGCCTATCGACTATAACAAGTATTATATCGTAGCTATGTCCTATAACCGGATCCTTAGACTTCGGTAGTTTCGTAATAAAGTCTATTGTAACTTCGTCCTATAGTCTATCTAGTAGCGTCCTAAATTAGATATGTCTATATCTAGCGTGTCTATTAGCCTTGTTACGCTAGCATTGTGGACATTTCTTAATATATTCTAGGACTCGTTGTCGTATATATAGGAATCCGAAGCTTCGCTTAACTAGTTCTATTGTTTTTGAAACTCTAGGGTGTCTATTTTCTAGTCCGTCGTAGTGTTGTCGTATACACTCCGTAACTCGTTCCTTAGGTACTTAGTATTTCCTATATTCGATTAGGAACTGTTCTTCTATGTCCTAAAGAACTCGTATAATGTAGTTGAATTCTTTTATATTAGCACTAAGGCTTCCGTCTTAGTTTGCTTTTAATATCTGCTACTGTACTAGTTCGTAACCCTCTATATAGTCGCTACGGCGGCTTAGTGCGTCGGCTCGTCCGTTCTCGCGTCCTAGGGTATAGCGGATTTCGAACTTATACTGTCCTAGTAGCTCCGACTAGCGGGCCTGTCTTCGGGTTAGTACTTTAGTCGTAGTAAAGTAAGTTAGATTCTTATAATTAGAAAGAATCGTAAGACTTAGTGCTCCTTCCGCGTATACTCGCTAGTATTGTAGTAATGCAACTATTGCAAGTAGCTCCTTATTATAGATATCGTAGTTCTGTTCCGCGGGTAATATCTTTCTCGAGTAATAGGCTACCGGGTGTCGTTTCCCGTTATGCTCCTATATAAGGTATGCTCCTATAGCCCTATCCGACGCGTCTGTTTCTATCTAGACCGCCTTACTCCTATCGAATAATCGTAGCGTTAGCGTAGAAACGCATTGCTTCTTTAGCTGCCTAAACGCTTCGTCTTCCTTCGTACTCTAGTTCTATTGCTTATCTTTCTTTGTAAGCTCCGTAAGGGGTACCGCTATCTTAGAGTAGCCCTCGATGAATTTTCTATTATAGTTAGCTAATCCTAGGAATGATTGTACGTCTTTAACGCATATAGGCGTTAGCT